GGGAGCAGTATCTTTGGTGTAAATTCAAAAGCAGCTGAAACACGTACATAAAGGAAATATTTACCCTTTCTCAAGATATAAAAGATACTTGTTAGATATTTCAAAGCTTGCCTGTTTTGTTGGAAAGTGAAATGGACATGTTGTTGAATGAATTGTTTAGATCTGAAGCCTTCATGAGAGAAATGGCTTTTGCGTCTGTTATGAAATGGCTTATGACTGAGACAAGGATCTACGTTATTATGTTCTTTAATGTAATATCCTTTTGCATTACGGCTGAAAAAGAAGGGCTTGAATGATTCTTGGGCAGGACATTGACAATGGCCTCTAACAACACTAAGCTATGTGCTTATAGATAATGCATTTCCATAATATTATGATATCAGAGGCTGCTTTTGTTCGGGCTGCAGGCTCACTATGGCTGTTGAAATGACACCATTTTATCTCCATATATCTTATTCCTTTACCATAGGAATAGGCCCACAGTAAATGCGCTTAGCAGCAGGAGGGGCCTCTTCAGTTCCCCCCATTTCACTCTCCCTCTCAGGGGTAAATGGGGCACAAACAGAGAGGTAGGATAGCAGATATGGATAAAACCTGAATCATGGGGTGACTTTGGTGCCTCAGCCTTTGATGTGAGGCCATAATGGTTTTCACAAATCATCTAGGATAATTAGGGAGTAGGTGCATATTTGTGCAAAAATAAACAAGATATAAAATTGTTGCTTCAGATGGATCAGATGAGCCACAGATGCATGTGCACAAATAGATACAAAAGCATCACCCTATCCAGCGCCTCTATACCACATACTGTTGGAAACACACTCAGAATCTAACCGGAGTATTCTCCATTTCATTCTGCACTGGAGCTGCAATAAGAGTTTGTTTAGAATACTTCTCCCTAATGTCAGCAATAAGAACATTACTATCATTGTCTTTTACATCCTTGTCTCAGGTTCGACCTTTTTGCTCTTTAACAGTTGACCGTATGGGATTACTTGAATCCGCTTCAAATGCACAGTGTACATTTGGACAAAACCCACAAACTTATCTGATAATACACCATGGTTTTAAATGGTTGTAATTCTGGTTTGAACAAATCACACCACTGCTTGTACAACCTCATTTGACATTTTTAGTTTTCTTCTTCCAAGCACATTATCCCTATCTTCTTTCAAGGCGTCCGGAAAAGAGAAACCAAGACAACATATCATGAGACTCTGCAAATATTATTTCACAACATCTTCAAAGAAGGAAGGAGGTTATTGGATCCTGCAAGGGCACAGGGTGTTCAAAGACTGACTGACTGACGCTTATGATGCCTTCTTTCAAATATGGAGGCCTTGAGCTATGAACCTCTCCTTCATATCCATCACGTCTGTGTCTGCAGCGCCCCAGGCACTGGTGCCTCTCAGCCTCCTCCTCAGTTCCTTATTTCGCCACTAGGGGTCCCGTGTGCATAAGATACAGCCATAGATGCTCAAAGCACATGAACCATAGTCTGTAAAGCATGAAAAGTGCACGTGCTTTCATGTGGTCTAAGAACAGGGGCAATAGTTGTAATTCAAGAAGTGTCTCTTTCATTACAGAGTATCTGTAGCTTAAAGTAATGTCACTGAGGCGTGGGGTTATGCATTCATGTTGCGGTTTTGTGAGCCGTCTTCTGCTCAGTGTCAGACTCGCAGGAGGAAGCAGAGCTATTGACCTAAGCAAAAAGAGACCTTTTTCAAATGTGTGAAGTTGATAACTTTATAAAACCAAACCTGTCACTGTAAAACTAATCAGATTATGGATGCAGCAGTTTTTCATAATACTACGTCTTTTTGCCCAATTTACCCTGATTGTTTACAGAATGACAACAACAGCAGTCAATTGTATTTATTCATTGCCTAGTTTGACCCTTACTTGATTGACAATAATATGGAAGTTTAGTGACATTTAAGAATGACATTTGTTTCAATATAAGAAATAATTTGGCCCGTCAACCTTTTCCACAGTAAAAAGTGACTATTTGAAAATCCTGAGTGTATTTATTTTTGTCTGCTCACAGTTCCTTAGCTTTAAGTCCTTTTTGGTCCCCAGCTATACACGCACTTGACTTAGAGAGCTGGAGTGGGTCCAGGAATCAAAGCCTTTTGAGAGCCAAGAATGTGGAAATGTGTTCAAAGAGAGGCTTCATGAGGAGTGGCTGCAGCAGGTAGCCCAGTGCACAGGTGCTGCAACAAATTCTGCACCTGCCTCACAGTTCAGCAGACGCAGGTAAATCCTTGTTAGATTATTATTTTCATCGCTAGAAGTTTGATTAGATTCTTTAAGTGGATTCATCCTCTACACCTCTGACCTATCAAAGACCTATCAAAGTATATATGGCATCAACAACTTGCTGCTCAGACATTTGGTTTATTATGTCTCATGATTGTCAGAGCGACAGCGGAACAGTTGGTAGAGCATTGGTCTTTGGATCTAAGAGTTGTGGGTTCGATCCCTCACAATCCATTCCACCTGCTCCCACTGATCTCTGCTGTCCTTGTGTCCCTGGGCAAGACACTTAACACCACTTTGCCTGAAGCCCCCACTGAAAGGTCTCTGAGGACAGAGCAGCCGTCATCCTGTGGTACTACCACCTACAGGAGGATGAGGGACTGGGGCGTTGAGGATTGGGCAGCTCTTATTTCCACCCCCTGGCCCAGGGGAAGAAAATGACATGACATCTCCCACAATGATACCAAGATTGATTTACATATACATACAAACTTTAAAATTTAGTTTAGTTCCTCTGTATTCAATAAACATTTGACGCCAAAAAAACAAAGCAATTGCATCTCCTGTAAAAACGTAATCCCTTAACACCAAACAAATTAACTATAAATGGCTGTTGTCACCTGCGCTATGCTCTATCAAATCTGTGACAATGTCAAGGGTGAAAGGCCAACATTTTTACAAGCTGGAACTGTGTGCAGTGATCAAAGAAACGGAGCAGAGAAGACCAGTCAAACACCAGGAGCCAAAACATGGAACACGAGCTGTCAAAGCCTCTTAGTGCTCCGAGCTGAGCGAGCGGAGTGTGAGTCCAGAGTCCAGAGGAGGGCAGAACATGTCCCGGGACAAAGGGCCCAGCTGCATGAGCTTAAGGGGAACACTCCACTACTTGACTCTGTCACACTGTCTGCCACTGGGACAAACTGCTCATGTTGAACAACAAAGAGTTGTCGTGGGCAAGCCCAAAGAGCTGCTCAATGTCAACTACTGCTCATCTGCTAACTTCTAGTTTGATGATTTTTGTTGTTGTCCCTTCTTCCAATTCTGAGGGATTTGGGCCGTCTTGAATGCAATGTTCTTGTGAAGCCAATCATATCAGATCGCCCTCACAAGAGGGCAGAGTGAAGATCATTGGAATTTGTGCTGCGTTTGGGATCATTATCAATACACCTCTTTTTAAAATGTAGGGCGACAGTAGCTCAGTTGGTAGAGCATTGGCCTTAAGGCCAGAAGGTTGTGGGTTCAATTCCCACCTCTGCACCTTCTCCACCGACTCCCACTGATGACTGCTGTCGTTGTGTCCTTGGGCAAGACACTTAACCCCACTTTGCCCAAAGCCCCCACTGAAAGATCAAGGCTATGCTCACACTCAGAGAGCAGCCGTCCTCCTGTGGACTCACCACCTGCAGAGGGTCAGTGAGGGGCTGGTGCTATGAGACTTGGGTGGCATCTCTGACTGCCACCCCCCTGACCCAGAAATGGATTAAAGGGTAGAAAATGGATGGATGGATGGATGGACTTTCTCATAGAAGAAAAAAACGCATTCTTCAACCTGAAACAATATTCGATTGTATGTATTGCTTGTGCTCCATGTATAGTATAGTATATTATATAGTATATATATATATAGTAACAATATGATTTTTTTTCATTAATTAATTAATTAAATTCTTTGGATGGGATAATGTGTAGTAAGGAACAGTCTGTAAATACACCAGATTTTAGCCTTGGACCTCAGTCCCACAGTTTCACTCACAAACAGGGAAAGTGGTTGGGGAAACTGGAGCACCTGGACATTCAACCTCCAAACAGAAAGGCGGTTCTGGAGGTGGAACCAAACCTGCATGGGACAAGGGATGGTCTCAGATAATCATTCAACTCTGTTACCTCCTGACCCTGACAAGAGATGAGCCAGATGTGGTCGGTCTTACATCTGGACAGGTCAGGAAATCACCAGTGTAGAGTGGCTGAACAGTGAAGGACCAGTTTCTTCAGAAGTGACATGGAGAATGCTGTGTGAGAACAACACCTACAGATACCTGTAAGACACCTGTAATGATTTAAAAAAAAATCACAAGACAGTATGAATGTATTAGCAGACATTTATGTGTTTGCAAATTTTGTGCAGTGTTGGTGATGAGTTTCACTCACTGTGGGCCTGGATAATGTTGTTGTTGACTTTTGTGACGGCCCTGTCAAATCAATGAGTCAATTTATTGAATCCATAACTAAAACACTACAACTTTTTATGTTTATGATGTCTATAAAAGGGCAATGAAACCAAATACTAACAACGAATAATAAAACCATTTGCGTAATTATTGAAACATTCCGACAATAATGAAATGTAGTTTTTGTCCCATTGGTTGAATACTCACGCAATAAAACACGCCCTTAAAACGAAGGGAGTAAAAAAAAAAAAATAGAAAAAAAAAAAGATTACAGTTGTTGAATCTCGCGGACCTGTGCCCCCCACCTGCCCAGAGGAGGGGGGTGCACATGTCCCACCTCCTCCAAAGTTGTGGAGCGCTCTTCTCTGCGGACCAGCCTCACATGAGTTTCCCCCGGTGCGGAGCGAGCACCGTGAACAGAAGGACACTTGAGGAGAGTTCAGGAGCTGTGAGGCCGGGGCAGTGGGGCAGTGGGAGTGGGGACATGGCCGCAGGTCAACATGCTCCTCCGGGGCAGAGGCGCATGTAGCTCCGCCAACACTTCTCCAGAGGAGCGGCTGTCACTCTGGTACCATGGTGCGCGCACCTACTCTGTGCCTGCTGGTCCTGAGCGCGGTGCTCAGTCCCGGGACACCCTGGGGTGCGAGACGAGAGAGACCGAAGCAATGCGAAGTACCCACGTTGGTGAGTCAAACACACGTTGTTTCATCACTACATGAAGTTTGGTCATTCTGGAATCTCAAAGAAGTGCAGATATTAAAACATAGATCATTATTACAAGGTTACTGTGACGTATAGGAAAGTAAATTAGAATCACAATTTCAATAGAAATACGCACAGCACCATTGCTGGTGTCTAGTGTATTTGTTTTCTCATATCGACATATGAGAGGATTACACGGGAGTAGTGGATACAACTGTTAAAAAAGTCTCATGTTTATGAATTCAACCTGTTTTATAGGCCTACTTAATACACTTTTTAGCTGAAGAAATATAGTAACATACTTTTATTTTGATGTTATATGTGTTTTATGCCAGTGAGAAAAGTATAAAACAAGTGTGAGTGGGCTTGCAGCTCCACAGATCTGACTTGTATGATTCCTTTTTGCACCATACTCGTCAACCAGATTTATTCCAAGAATTTTTTTTACCATATGGCTTTAAAGGTTTATGCTATATAAAATCTACTGACAGTAAGAAGACCATCCCACAACCCCATACTTTGGCAGACATATTCAAATGCACTGCTGGCAGAGTTCAAATCCTGGAGGAAAGCTGGAGCAGATTTGATTAGACCTATGAGGTAAACATGAGCTCAAAATAGTTTTGTTTTGCCATAATGGGCTTAATCCTTAAAATGTCTGATTAGTTTCTGTCTCAGAAGCCAGAACTCTGATATTGTTTATCAAAACCATTGTCATTTCTCATTTTTGGACAATGCATCAAAGACATGTCTTTAAATAGGAAGAGCTCAGAAATGGGAACACATTATAAGTAACAAATGTTCTGGTTTGATTGCTTTAATTGTTTCATTTAAGTTCTCATAAGGTTTTCAATAAAATCTCAAACATATTTGGATCCAAGCAACATTCTAAATGTATCTGTTAAAAAGAGCAGTGTAACCGAGGATTTAGTCTAAAGTAAAGTATCACTGAGAGGTCAGGATTTTAGTGTATTTGTTCTGTAGCCTTTAACTTTGTGCTTCTCGGCCAAAGCAGCGTTTTAACCGCAACATTGTTCTAATAATATGCCAGGGTCTGTTTAATACAGGCTGGTTTCCACATGTGATACTAACTTAACCTGGACCACAGCAGATGTGTGCAGCCTTCAGAATGAATTGAACGAAACATACTCAAGAATGTATCTCTCATTGCAAAGTTACTGCTGCTGTCATGTGGAAATCACTCTTTGTGGAGCTGTTAGGACAGCAGCAAAGCACATTGACGACCCTCGCATAACGGTTTTTCAGAAGAGATTAAGATTAAGTTTTGAAACCGGAACAGCAAAAAATAATATGCTCATTCCCTTGAGCGAAAGCTCAGTGTCATCTCTTCCTTGTGCACGAGCTGGCTCAAAAAGACTTCCCTTTTAACCCGCCTCAGGAGGTAGTCTTTTTGCAGAGGTGTGTTCAGTGTGGACACTCAATTTAGTGGAAATTGAGACCTTGATAAAAACCGTTTCATAGGCTGTTGCTTTGGTCAGGGGAAGAAGGTTGTAAAACTACTCAGAGACAACACAAGCCGTGTAACGAGCTCTTACCATCAATGTTTGGGCTGTTACATGCGCTGCGTTGTCCTTTAAAAAAATGTCCTTATAAAAAAATATGTTTGAAAAAAGTTATATTGCTCAACAAGGATAAGCTTGTGTTGTCCATTTGAATGTGTAATTTAACATGGAAAAAACAAAACTATCTCTTTCACTGGAAACATAGGTATTTAGGGGCATTTTTATCGCCCATTTAGTTTTTAACTATTATATTACTATTATTATTATCATATTACTATTTTATATATATATATATATTTATATATATATATATATATATATATATATATATATAAAGTCAGTAATAAAAAAACATTTCTTCAAATTTGTTCTAACATTTCCTCATTGCTCTCTTCCAGCAAAGTGAAATGAACTCATTTTTGTGGACGGTCAAAAGAGAGCCCCACCCTCCTTCGTACCTGTTTGGGACCATCCACGTTCCGTACACCCGTGTCTGGGACTACATACCGGACAACTCCAAGCGCGCTTTTTACACCAGTCCCAACATCTTCTTTGAGCTGGACTTAACCGACCCTTTGACTATTTCTAAACTGACCAGCTGCCAGCTCCTTCCTCATGGGGAGAACCTACAGAAGCTACTTCCTCGAGACTTGTACCGGCGCCTCAAGCGGCACCTGGACTACGTCAAACACATGATGCCGCGATGGATGACGCCCGATCAGCGCGGGCGAGGACTTTACGCGGATTATCTTTTCAATGCGATTGCGGGGAACTGGGAGAGGAAGAGGCCCGTGTGGGTAATGCTGATGGTGAACTCACTGACGGAGTGGGACGTGCGGTCAAGGGGGACCCCAGTGTTGGATCTGTTTTTGGCCCAAGAGGCTGAGCGCCTGGGGAAGAGCACAGGGGCTGTGGAGAGAGTGGAGGAGCAGTGTCACCCGCTCAATGGACTCAACTTCTCCCAGGTAGGATTCAATATCATATTATTCATACTATTACCCCTGCACACACATGCTATTGAATTGTGCTCCTTCTCTTTCATGAACGGGAATTACAAAGGATGTTAGAAGACTAGGATTATGAGAGGCTTTTCTTTCCCAGTACAGGGAGATCTTAGCAGTTTCTTTGAGCCAGCTTCAGCCATGAGTTTGGAGAAGAGCACTTTTTCTACCCACAATCTTACTAAATCCAACCAGAACAATGCGCAATAAACATTAGTCCTAAAAAAAGAAAATATGTCATATGCCAAGTTTTAGCAATAATGCTTTTTTGCAGAATGATAAAGGTAATTAAAGTTGGGGTAAAAATCAGCTCTCAGTTTAAAAAGTCAAACATGGCTTGACGCCTAAGAATGAGTATCCGTAGAAGTGTTCTTAAACAGTCTGAATGTACTTGATTGGCCCTTAATAACTTTGCTGGAGACTTTGAAAATGGTTTGTTGTTTGTGTTTTTTGCTGAATTTCTATCATGGAGAATTAATTAATCATTTGTTTACCTAAATGTTTTCAAAGTCCATAATGACAGGAGTTTAACTTGTGTTAAAAAGTAATGTATTATTCTTTCTTTTTTTTAGTACTGGTGCGGCAAATATTGTCATGTCCGATTGTGTTCTCAGAATGAATTGTGCAAAACTGTCCCTCTTATATTTTCCTTTCTAAAGTATTTCTCCAGCAAATGACTCTGTGTGTGTGCGCCAAGGGTGGTTTTTGTTCTGTTGCTGGAGAATGTGGGAGAAGTCAATATAAAGGGAAGAAAAGTGATTAAAACTTGTCGAGTGGGGACAGTTTTATGATTACAGATGTCTCCCACTTCACAAGACAAACAGGCCCACAGCTGAATCTGTGTGTGCACATGCAGAAAAGATTAGCAGAGGTGAGAAACCACATCGATCTGAGTCTGCAGGAAACGCATCAGCATGAAAAATATGTTGGTTGAAATGTGAGGAATTTGTTGATTTGTTGTTGTTGAATTTGTTTTGATGTACTTTGAGGGTGAGTCTAACTGAAACAACTGAACTATCTGTGACCAGACAAGAAGACACATTCAAACCAAACAATGATAACATTTGTAAAGTGGATTTATTGAAATATGTCAGAGGATAAAATGGGCAAAATGGAGATTGATCCTCAGGAGTCTCTTTATTGTCACTTGACTGAAGATGCACGATTACTGAAATTACAAACTACTGTAAGTGAAATAGCAAATCTTCAAATACAAAGACTGCAATTATTATTTTTTAAAGTAAGATATTTTTCCCTAATTTGACTGGATTAGAGGAAATGTATTTGTGTCTTATCAGTGAATAAAATCTGCCAAAAACGCAACTTTAGGTTTATTTCAAGCTGACAGATTCTTGCGAAAATTTAGAAAAAGGTCATTTTCACATTTTAAGTACAACAAACCATTCTGTGCTTGTTCCGTTGGCCAATTGTTTTAAAAGACGGTAAATGTTTTCTAATAAGGATAGAAACTACTTAATATAGACCTTTATCAACAAATACTGTTGTTTTTTGCTGTGTATCAATTTTCATTACAGAAAAACAGGTGTATTTTTGTTTAATCCTCCTCAAACTTCTCTTTCTAATCTTTTTCTGTGTTGTGTTCGTATTTTATTTTTCTTTTCTTATGCTTGCTAAATGATTTAGTAATTTTAAAACTAAAAATGTAAATCGTAGGAAAAGGAAAATATATTTTACCAAAATCATTTCCCTATGACTTTCTTGACTAACATTTCAAACATCCATAACAGAAATAATAAAAATCCTTTCATGCTTAAAAACTTGTCAATTTATGTTTGTGAAACTGTTCCAGCAATTTTTGGTTGAAAAATGACCAAAGACGTAATTACAATTTTTTTTTTTATATCCCTCCACTTTTTGTGCTATTTCACACGACGACAAATGTGCCTTTCTCATGATTGCTTCCATAGAACCCCACATGTTAAAGCAGCTCCCCCTCTCTGTCCCATAAACACACACATCATAGAAGTTATGCGACGAGCGTGCAGGACGAGCCCCATGTGACGCACGGGGGTCCGAGGGCTAATTTGAGATGCAGTGGTCCACTCTCTGCTTTCATCAGCTCCTCCTAACGACTCTGTCAGAATCACTGTGCCCTGAGCATTCCCCGCGCTGCAAGTGCAACTGAAATAATCCTGGCAAAGGCACAAGGTCTTTCCAGTAATGAAGAGGACAAGCCGCTGACATTAGCACGGCTTTGCAATTTGTTTAAGCTGTTGGTTTTATAAACAATTAGGAACATTTGATATGGTAAGAAAATGGGAAGCTTTTTGTAATGGAGATGTTATTAAGCAACCAACTAAGGGGAACAAGGAAAAAACTGTCTAGATTTTAAGTAATTGTCTCATCTGAACCACTATATTCAGACTCCAAAGCATGCCATGTGCTGAAAAGACAGGAATGACGTCAAAATAAATCTTTTAGAGCCTGCCGATACAAGACCTATTGAGATACAGGGTACTTTCAATTTGATACAATATATTTATGAATGATTTAATGTGGTTCTGTATAAGATAAAAGCTTTTGACCCCTTGTCTAATGTCCTGCCCCATTTAAACAAATGATGCAACACAAGATGAATTGTTATTAAAGTCAAAACAATTGAAATGAAAAATTGAGTAATCAAAGGGAACCGTTGCGTGCTTAATAACTCATTGAATGATTCCATGTCTTCCCTTTGGTGAAAAGTCCAAACAAAACACCAATCTTTTCCACTGTTTTTGGGTCAACACAAAATCTCAACACAAATTTAACAGACTATAAAAAAACAGAAGTTATAACTGCTTTAATGATGGAGTAACAAATAATATAGTCAGAAACCTGCAGTCAAATAACTTTTACACATAGGAAGGGCAGTATTCAATTGCACAGTTCTAAAGTGAAGCGAGAGAATGAGTGAAAAATGACTTGATGTGTAAAAGTCTATAAAGTATTATTCTGTAAACTTTTTCAATCATGGATCACTCCTGGAGGAATAAGGATTACACCTTGAAACATGTGTATGTCAGAAGGTACATTGTTTTACCATGCATGTCAAAGCACTTCTTACTTGCACAGCTGGACCCCCAAACTCTCCAGATACTTTGAACAACTCCAGGCCAAACTGAAATGGACATGGAAGTCATTATTCTCAATTATAATAATTTGTGATTAAGCCTGAGCAGCGTGGATGATTGTTACAGTGATGAGGTCAGGAGGATGCAGACACAAGAGAATGTGTGGGAGGGAACGGGAAGAGAAAAGGTGCAGAGGAAGCAGGAGATTTAGCTTGAATTGGGAATAGATAAATAGGACAGACGGCTTTGTTGTATATACATCATCTCACTCTGCTAAAACTAATTCAAAACATGAAATAGCATGAAATGGAAGCTGGGAAAGTCCAAACTGGCTGGCCCACATGTCAGTTGTTCCCAATAAAAATGGTTGCTTACAATATCCTGTAACTTCAGCACTCTCACTGCAGGCAGAGCCAAATGGAAATGAGAGAGCCAGTGATTCATCATTTGTCACATCAGAAGTTTTAAATAGTCCCAGTGGTACCAATGCAGCAGGCTCCAACCCAAGTCTTAGATTGTCCAGCTTATAGGGGCAACAGGTTAGGCTGCCTGAGGGACTGTGACCCCGGAGGAAGTGGCTTTTGGACAGGAATCCCTCAATTAATCATTCTATCTGCAGAGAACCCCATTTTTTAAACAAACAAAACATTTGCCAATTAAAGCAAAATTGTTCACCCAATTATTCACGAGCAAACTGGAATGACTTTGGAATGATTTTTTCTGTGTGTATTATGCGTCCGAAAAGCAAAAAATACAACAAAAGAAACGGAAAAAGTTAATCAATGATTGATTATGTCATTAGTTTGAAAATGTAGTACCCCAAGGCGTTCCCAGGCCAGCTGAGAGACATAGTCCCTCCAGCGTGTCCTGGGTCTACCCCGGGGCCTCCTCCCGGTGGGACGTGCCCGGAACACCTCCCCAGGGAGGCGTCCAGGAGGCATCCGGAACAGATGCCCGAGCCACCTCAACTGGTTCCTCTCGACGTGGAGAAGCAGCGGCTCTACTCCGAGCTCCTCCCGTGTGACTGAGCTCCTCACCCTATCTCTAAGGGAGCGCCCAGCCACTCTGCGGGGGAAGCTCATTTCGACCGCTTGTATCCGCGATCTTGTTCTTTCGGTCATTACCCAAAGCTCATGACCATAGGTGAAGGAGGGAACAAAGATTGACCGGTAAATCGAGAGCTTTGCCTTTCGGCTCAGCTCCCTCTTTACCACAACGATCCGATACAGCGACCGCATCACTGCGCACGCTGCACCGATCCGCCTGTCAATCTCACGCTCCATCCTTCCCTCACTCGTGAACAAGACCCCAAGATACTTGAACTCCTCCACTTGAGGAAGGACCTCTCCACCCACCTGCAGAGTGCAAGGGCGCACTAGACCTATTGTGCATATCTTTTAGTGGTATGGAAACCTATGCAGACACGGGGAGAACATGCAAACTCCACTCAGAAAGGCCCCATTCTGACCGGGATTTGAACCCAGGAGCTTCTTGAACCCAGGACCTTCATGCACAATAGGTATGAATGTAATGAGTGAGTGAATGGATGGTGTTGGTTAGAGGCTTTAATTCACCAGTGTGTTTGGCGACTCGCTTCCGTCATCACCGTGTGGAGAGAATAGAACAATATTTGAACTCTGAACTTTGTAAAGCGCTTAGGTGACCTTGGTCTGTAAAAATGCGCTGTATAAATAAACATTACTTCCACAGTGCTATCCACTCAGCCACTGTGCCATAATCCACAGCCCTAAACCTTTATATTAATGTACAGTAGAATTATGTATGTCTTAAATATTTATGAGCTAAGACTTATTTTTTCTCTATTCAAATTTCCCACAGAAGCACTCCCTATGTCTCTTTTCTTTGATTTGTGTCTTAATATGGAAGATA